GGCTGGTGTCTCTTGAGCGCAGTTTTCCTCCTGTCTAGGCAGGGGGTCGGACTTGAAGATCTACAAGGTCCCTTCCGACCCTACTTGTGTGATTCTATGATCCACTGTGCTCTTGGCTGCACAATCATGCCCACCCACCCAGCTAGTCCCTGACTGCACACTCACAACCACCCTCCCACTCTGCCCCAGGCTGCACAGCCACATTTACCTACCCACCCAGCCATTGGCTGAACAACCATAGCCACCGACCCACTGTGCCCCTGGCTTCACAACCACACCCACCCATGTACTTTGCCCCTGGCTCCACAAATGCACCCACCCACCCACTCTGCCCTTGGCTGCACACCCACCCACCCACTCTGCCCTTGGCTGTACACCCACACCCACCCGCTCTGCCCTTGACTCCACAACCACACCCACCCACCCACTCTGCCCCTGGCTGCACACACAACACACACACACACACATACATGCCCACACTGTACACCTCCACACACCCCCATGACACACACTCACACCAGACCCACACACACACCCTACCAGTGGCTTCATGCTCCCCACTTTGGCTATGCAGCCAGACCACATGGTGCCCACTGTGCTGGCAAGCAGGGAGTGCAATTGTCAGGGATGGGCAGTTGGGCTGCTCAGTCCTGCTGAGGCTCCCCCTGGGTCCTTCTGCCCCTGTCATCTGTCAGCTTTGACAGGAGCCAGGCAAGTCAATATAGTTTTAAAACCTAAGGCTCCTTCTGCCTCTGGCTCCTTGCCTGAGGGGGCGGGGCCCATGCAGCCAATTGCTTCCTGCCCTCTCCAGGGCGCATGCATAGTTGCTCCCCAGCGTTAGGGACAGACAGATACAGACTGAAGTACTAGGCCTTTTATAATATTCAAATTTTTATCTCAGTGCAAAGATTTCCAGAGTATCTCACAAGCGCAGAACCAGTTATGTGCAGTCAGTTCTTAGTTTGGATGGTGCCACCTACCATGGTACAAAACAGATTTTATAGCAAGAAAGGGCCATTTTGATAAGCTATTCTGGTCCCTTCATACACTGCCCAAGTGATTCCTACATTCAGATTATGATTTCCAGCTGAGCCAGCACATCTGGTTTTGAAAGACATCTAGCCTTAATTTGGAGCCTTTAAGGACAGAGACTTCACCACAGGTAAGTTGTTCATGGGACAGGATGACAAATTTTGGTCTGAGGCAACCTCTGCTCTAATTAAAAATGCACCAGGCCCTTGACCTTCCATGAATATTAGACAAATATTAAACCTCAGGTTTTCAGAACTAATTTAGACACTGGTATTTCTGATAATAGCCCTTCATGTGATTATAAGGAGGAGTTTAAAGGACCAGTGAACACAAGTTACCAAACCCAATTTTGCGATCATGTCATGAACTTTTTTCTGCACTTCCTCTCTCATCGCTCTGGATTAATGACTTATTTCTGAGTTCCCTCCTTTTTCACTTGCCTCCCTTTCCTTTCTGATTAACCTTTTCACCCCTGAGAGCACAGCCTGGGAAGAAGGACAGCTCAAGCAACCAGGTAGGTCAGAGGAGGCATCCCCAGCAAATGGCAGGAAGCCTGTGGCAACCGGGAGGTGATGAAGGCAAGATCCCTGAAGGGTAGAAGTGAGGCCTCTAGTGACTAGAGTAGCCCACCCATTGTCACTCATGGTGCTTTGCAGGAAGCATGATGAGTTAGTGATCCCCTGGACCCAACAGAAGTAGGCTGTTGAGTCTCTGGAGCTGGGTAATCCAGCTGCTGACTGCGTGCCTGCAGTCAGTTTCCCCTAGCAATACCCCGCCTCCCCCCAGCCTTGGTGCTGATCTCAGAATGGGAGTGGGGAAGGGAGCAGACAGAGCTCCTCTGCGGGTTCCCTCGCCGTGCTGGAGGGTGGGGTGGGTGGACTCCAATACATCCAGTGCTGGCTGAAAACCCCCAGACCAAGCTCCCTCTGCCCCTTTACCCCCCTCCCATTCTGAAAACAGTGCCGGGGTTGAGAGGCAGTGCAGACAGAAGTTGCTGAAACTGCTCTGTTTTGGAGCGTTTTGATCTGAACCCAAGATTTCTGCAGAATTGGGCCCTTTTAAAGTGCTCTGCAGCCATGCATTTCTGTTTTGTTGTTGTCTGGCCCCACTTAGGGGCCAGATTGGCAAAATCTTTCTTCTCTCTGTCTCTCAAGAGCCTCTGCAAGCCCTTCTGCCAGCCGTGGATGTAACTGCCTGGGGGTAATGTTAACTGTGACAGAGAGGCATTGTCTAGTGTCAGAGTGTGGACTGGAGGGTCATGCGCTCCTGAGGTTCTGATCCTGGCTGTGACAATTAGGAGTGAATGTCAGAAATGTGGCATAATTTGCATTCACAAAATCTGCCTCAGGGATTCAACAGCCAGTGCAGGTGGGAGAAGCTGTGCCTGTAGGAAGCAACTCAGTTTGTACCTGCAGCTTATTTCCTGGGCCCAAACACTCAGGTGCCAATTCTGCAGGTACAAAACAAGCAGCATTGTTACTTCTTGTGATCGTATTGCCAGTCTGAAGTCATACAGTTATGTAAAAAGGGACTTACTAGCCACCCTGATTACAGAGAAAAAGCTGAAAACAATTTGGAGCCTAGAGGCTCCAAAACCCAGAAGCCAAATTAGAAAATAGTAAATTTATTAATGTTTGAAAACTCATGAAGTGAATGCAATCCCACGGTGTTGGAGAGGGAAGGTATCCGAGTCCTAAACTTTAAATTGCTACTGCTAAAATAAGGCCACTGAGCCTTCAGTGGGCAGAAAGTCTGGTCCTTAATCTGGCCATTTCCAGGCTTGTATTTTTGGACCTGTCTCCCAGAATAATGAACTGCTATGTGAATTGCGCCCCCAAGCCCCTGCCCACCTCTGTCCATTCCCTCACACCCTGTTCTGCCACAGCTGCTGCCACCTTTCCTTTTTGTGTCCTGTTTTTTTCTTACCCTTCTGTTACACAGCAGTAGAGATGGGCATAAAACATAAGATACAGATCAGGTCTTCAAGTATCCTGAACTCCGAGGTGGTTTGGATCTGGGGTGTTGGTCCGTTAAGATGCATATGCTCACACATTCATTTCCTTGTGAGGCTAATGTTATTACCTCAAATGTCGTGCTGTTGATTTCACGCTCTGTTTCCTCCTCAGTCTTCTCTAAAAAACATAGAATTTGATTTTAAGTACCATTTTGCATGTGGGAAAAATAAGACATCCTGCCAGTATCTGTCCACAGACACACATCTGCCAGCCTGACTTTTTGGGAGGGTGGAATAGAGCCGCAATGTCTAGACCCAGTCCAGATCCAAAATTCCATTAATTTGACTTCAGATCCATTAGTTCAAGCCTGCCTGTGTTTTCCTGGTTCTGACTTTCCTTTGGCTCATTTCAAATCAGCATACTCCTATCGGCAGATGTGGAATCACTCCTGATTTACCGTGGTGAGACAGGAGAATCAGGTCCATTGCATCTAGTAGCCTTTCTTGGGCAAGGCTCCATATGCTGTTTCCTGGACTCAAAGCACTGAAACTATCAGATGTCTTTGTAGAACTTATTCTGTTTTAGCAGGACGGTTGTACCTAAGGCTGTTTCTACACTCAGAACATATCACTGTTCCACCATACTGTAGCTGAAAAGCACTGGTAAGGTGGAAACAGCTATATCATAAAAGGCGTGTTTTGTAACAGTATAGTAAACCCACCTACTGCAAGCAGAACAAGCTATTACAGTAAAAGCATATTGTTGCCTGGTAGAACTGCATTGACGCGAATGACTTCCACCAGCCCAGTCGGGGATCACACCGGCACAGCTATGAGGGAAAACATCTGTAGCATTACGCGGCCTGTTACTGAGGGGCTGATAAATGTATGTTGATATAAATTTGATATAGTATAAATTATATGTAGCAGACTTGCCTTTTGAGCTCTGGATGAGTCCTGGGTTCAAGATTCTGCAATTCCAATTGGTGGAGCCCATTTGCTAATCAGAAGCAAGCCAGGGAAAGCAAGGCCACACCCTTTCCCTGAAGGGAGGGGGCAAGGAGCAGTCTAGACCTGGTTCCAGCCTGCACCCTGCCAGGTCTGGAGAACTTCGAGGGTGGAGCCCCTTAAGTGTATAAAAGGGGAGCGTGCTTGGCATGCTGAGAGGAGGACACGCGGCGAGGGATGATGAGCTCTGGAGACAACCCTCCTCAGGACCCTGCCTGAGCCTCGACAGTGCATAGATTGGTGCACAGACTATAGGAGCCACTCGAGGCAGCTTGAGCCTGTGAATCTGGCAAGCGGCTGGGTAGGCGGTGCATGGATCAGCGCATGGAGGGCTGGCCCTGGCAGCAGCTTGAGGCTGCTCGGGCCCCACACGATGTACGGGCCAGCGCATGGAGAGTCGGCTCTGGGAGCAGCTTGAGGCTGCTCAAGTTAGCCCCAGCTTTAGGCCAAGTAACCGGAGCCCCGCAGTGTGGCTCTGCATTAAACTAAAAGAGGCCCGGTGCCCAAAGCAGGGCCCGGGAAAGGGAAGGACCCCTGGTGTGAGGCCAGGGAACCGGAGCCAGGAAGGGTTTGGTTCCTGTGGGAGTGCCTTGGGTGTCCAGTGCAGGGCACCAGGCCATCAAGAGGAGCGGGAGGCACTGCTGGAGAGAGGCCCTCATGGCACTGGCCACCAGGGGACGAGCCTTGGCTGCTTCAGAGAGGAATCACGAGCTGCTGGGGAATTCGGTCCCGCAGGGGAGGTGGGCTTGGAAGAGGAAGGTCTGTCGCCTCCACCCTCCTCCATTGTGGGAGGGGGCATGTGCACATCCTGGGGCCCTGAAGGGGGGGAGGGGCTCCAGGGAACACCCTGGGAGGTGCTGAGTGCACCCCCTTATTTTGTGATTGTTGTTTCATGCTGTGGAGGTTAATATAGTTATGGGTACTCCTTAAGGGAGTTTATATGCGTTTATCTGTCTTCATTGCCTCTATGTGTTTATTGCCTATTATCGGAACATACCTGTATTGTTGCCTGTGTACATCTATGGTATTGCTACCTCAGTGTACCTGGGTTATCTAAGTTGATGTTCATATGTGTTTATTGTGTTGATGCCTTGACTTACCTGTTCCAAAGTGTTAATGCTTATTCTGTGCAGAGGGGTTAATTATTGTATATGCTGTGAATCGCTCGGTTTATGTTTTTGCAGTCCCTCGAAGTGGTACAATATGTTGATTGCAGGTTATTGTATATGGTGTCACATAGTAATTTTACTGTAAATATTTAATGTTTCTTATACAAATTTATTGCTACAATAAGTAAATATGAATATAGTTTATATTCCACTGGCAGACAGGGCACACCCCTGGGTGTTACCTGGGTTACATAAAATATAAATATTTATCCAGAAGCATGCATTTCAGTCCTGGGATGTCATTCATGGTGTTCCTTGCATAGATATAGTCTCATATGCAATCTTTTTCTTGAAAGGAATGGTTTACCATTGCCTGTGGAAGGCTCTGAACTTGACCACCTCTGTTTGACATAGAGTTGAATCCTTGCTTAAAGATGAATTAAGGAAGGGAGGGTGTTGCAGTGTATGGAAAGAGGGTATCACAATGGAAATTACCACATTTGAGGTGGAAGCAACACTCAAAGAAGGCCTGAATAATCTCTATCCCAGTATACTGAAAGAACCAGCATGTAAATCCATTAGCAAGGATCTTTAATAAATAAGGTGCAGCTGGTACCATCGTCTTGGAAATCAGCAAATGTAGTACCTCCTCTAGCAGACCTAGGCCTCATGGACGGCATTGAAATCCCCTGGTGGCCAAGTAATTCCTGCACAACTCCAGTTCCTTGGAGTACCCTCCCTTTTTACCTCTCCTGCTACATCTTGATGGAACTTTTATGGTGTTTAGGAAGGCTACCCCAGGCAGCTGGTCTTGCCCCTTGGGGCACTAAGTTATGGCCCACAGCCAGAATAAGATGAATTGAGGCTGGGGTAGGTGCAGAGAATGGAGATGCGAATGATAGGGTGCAGAAAGGATTGGTCTTACAAGAAAACGCTGGAAGAGTTTGGCTTGTGCAGCTTGGGAAAACAAAGGGTGAGAGAGGCTATCATTGGCCTCTTACAAATACATTGGGATGAAATGCTGAGGAGGAAGAAAAACTGTTTAAGCAAAAGAAAATATCACAGGAATAAATAGAAATAAACTGGCCGTAACTTGGTTTCAGCTGGAAGTTAGACAATTTCTAACCAACAGAGAAGCAAGGATGTGGAGCAGCCTTCCAGGGGGAGCACCTGGGGCAAAAAATATAACTACTGCTAAGACAGAACATGATCACCTTATGAACAGTTATCTGACGTAGTTGCCTGCAACAGCAAGGGACTGAATTTGATGGCCTAGAAAACCCTTCCAGTCCTCTGTGCCTCTGTGATTGTTTCTTCTAACTCAGGGGTGGCTAACTCACAGCCCACGTGCCATAAGGGGCACAGGCAACCTCTGTGTGTGGCACATGGCAGCTGGGGAGGAAACAGGCAGCACAGTGGCAGACGGGGTAAGAAGCAGAAAACAGCAGCAGATTGGCAACACAAGGAGGAAACAGATAGCAGAGCAGCAGATTGGGCAGGAGAAGGGGATCAGTGGCACATGGGGAGGGTGCAGGGCTACTTTGTGGCAGGCCTACCAGAAAGGTTGGTGCCCACTTTTCAAAATCACACTTAAAATTCTTTGCTCTCACATGACCTGTAGCCGCACCGTTATATTTCTCTATCATTTTTCTTCCCAGGAACAAAGTCCTGGGCAGCTGGGCCTGGCTGATCTCCTTGGCAGTTGCCATCTCTACATTTGGGTCTGCAAACGGCACGTTCTTCAGCGGAGGCCGCATGTGCTACATTGCTGCCAGAGAAGGTCACATGGTAAGGGAGTGGAAACCATCTTTTTAGCTTTGCCTTTTACCCTTTCTGGTGCTACAGGAAGCAGAAAGGAAGACACTGCAGGTTTGTCTGAGCCCTTTGCTGGCATATCAGTGCACCCTTGTCACTTGATGGTTCCCCTGAAGAATTTTTTCCTGCTCATTTTCACACGAGAGATGTTTGCTCCCAACAACACCTCCTTTCACACCCATCTGTAGTGGGAGGTGGCACAAGGAGATACCTTGCCTGCCTGGCTCATTTACTGATTCCTGGATTTGAAGCAAGGTTGGCACAGTAGTGTAGTGCTGCACACTGCCCCAGGTGCTCTGCTGAGTGGCCTTGCCTAGCCCCACACACGTACAGTTACTCTGCTTCTGGTCTGCATGGGACAGCACAGCATGTGTTAGCATGGTGGTGCCTTGCACAGTATCCTTGTACCCGCTGAGCCTTAACTAGTGCATCGTCTCTCCCAATGAGTCTGCTCCCAATTAGCATTTGGCACTTCCAGGAGTGGGAGAAATGCGATTCCACATGTAGCTGGCAATGGGTGCAAGAGGCAGTAGCACAGGCACAGCACGGGCTTTTGTAACCCATGTCACCACCAGGGGTGAAGATATCTGTGCCCTGGCTCTATCTGGGCTCCTTCTCCACTTGCTGGTGCTGTACATAGATTGATTGGGGAATATCATCACAAATGCTTAGCACAGATGTAGCCTCCAGGTCTTTCACTTGTAAGAGCTTGTCCAGTGATTCTGGTGGACTGAGACAGGCTGGACTGGGTCGCCCAGGAAGAAGACGGGGAGCTCTTCCTTTGCCTTCAGCAGAAAGATATTCTTCAAATCGCTCACATAGAAAATCACTTATCCTATCAAAGATAGATATCAGGCTAGTCTGTCATAGTCTACCTTTGGTAAACCCATGAGAAAAGGCTGAAAGAACTAGTGTTATTTAGTCTGGAGAAGAGAAGTTTAAGGAGGGATTTAATAACAGTCTTCAAATACCTGAAAGGTGATTACAGAGAAGATGGAGATGGGTTTTTCTCTGTGGCCATAGGGAACAGGACTAAAAGCAATGGTCTCAGGCTTCAGCAAGGGGAAATTTCAGCTCCTATCTGTTCTCTCCCCCACTTTCCATTTCTCCTTTCAGCTGCCTAAGTGCAAGGATTCTGCAGCCCCTGCATTTTCACACTGGTTTGGCCATTGCAGAGGAGTGGCTTTGTGGTTTCTTTACTGCACAGTTCCTTTTAGAAATAGAAGTTGGTAGCACCCAGGCATAGAGAGATGTGAAATTTAGCAGGCATCTGTGCTGAGCAGTTCAGGATCTGAAAGCACAGAGCATCTGAACAGTTGCAGTAACCAGTTGCGCAAATATTGAACTCTTACCCAGATTTCCAGGCACTAGTGCTGAATTTTGTCTGGGCATGCAATGTTTTGGGGTTTTTTTTCTCCCCAGAAAGTAAGTAAAAAATACAGTCTGTCTCAATGAACTCTCCTATTGAACCAGGCAGTGAAATAAGCCAGTGTCACTCCACGTTCTGAAACAATTCTGGGTTTGTGTTAAATGCATGCACGGCAGCGGCCTTTCATTTCTGGGTGGCTAGTTCCCCAAATGGTCCCACTAACGAACCTGCCATAGAGATACCTGAGGGCAGAGCTGGAGAACAGCAGGGGACACGGGTGTAACTTGGGGCAGGATTTTCTTTCAGAATCTTCTTCATGATCCACGATAGGGGAGGGTCGGCTTGACTCGCAGCCTGGATTTGTGTAGCCAGCAGCTAGAAAATGTCATCTTTTCCTTGCAGGCTGAGCAAATCCAATATGAAATCAGTGAGAGATAAAAAACAGTCTTGAGGAGCTCTGCATTTACATTCCTCCAAGTAGAGCTGCTTCTACATCCTGGTCCAGTTATGAACTAGGGTTTTGTGCAAAACTCCCTCTGCAGTACACAGGAGTAAGCGTTTTTGAACTTGTGCTTAGGATAGTCTGTTACCTTGTGCTTTGATTTCCAGCCAGATATTCTGTCTATGGCTCATGTGCGATGCTTCACGCCTTCCCCTGCCCTGATATTTACATCGGCAATGTCTTTACTGATGATAATACCAGGAAACTTCAGCAGCATTGTCAACTTTTTCAGGTATGTGGAACATTCCCATTGCCCTCCCCAATCCTGTTTTTGACACTGTTTATAAATGGTAATGCTTTCTGTAACCCAGATTATTTCCCAGAAAACAGATGCTGTAACAAAAACAAGGAAAAAAAAGAAAAAAAAGTGCTTGCTAGCTGGCAGGGGTGTGAGGTGTGAAAGTTGCTATTAAGATTTATTTGCTTGTTAGAGAGGCTTCAGATGGACATACAAATGTATCTGAACCTGCTGCTTTAAAGTTCTGATCATTGTACTTGTGGGAAATGGAGCACGTTCATGGGTCCAAGAAGTGTTGGATATAGGAAAATAAAAAAGGGTTCGTTTATGCTAAATGGTTATGAAGAGCCCCCTTTTTAGGCAGTGCCTATTCTAATAGATGCATGCAATTGGTGTCTGAAAAGCCAGACTCTCATCATCAGCCAATCTAATTCCTGAACTTGCTATTATAACTTTATTTTTTGCTCAGTTTTGTAGCTTGGATTTTCTATGGCACAACTATTGCTGGTCTCCTGTATTTAAAGATCAAGAAACCGGAACTGCCAAGAGCTTATAAGGTAAATATTTAAAATAATCACCTTTTTTCTTTTATTCTCTGCCCCTGGAGGGCAGGATGAAGTGCATCCATTAAAGGCTTCATTTAAACAAATGTTTTGTCTCATCCCACCCTGAAGGATGGAGCAGTGGAGCCTTATAAGAACAGATGGCTACCGACTTGACAGCCCACCTAGCACAGCAGCACAGAGCATGTTTTCAGCTACTACTTCTTGCTAGGAGCACAAGAGAGGAAATGAAAGGCAGTTCTGATCTCTAGAGCTGCTGCTTCCTTCCCTGGCCCTAGTCACCTCACTTCCTCCCCCAGTCTGTCAGTAAAAGCTGAAGGAGGAGGGGAGCTCTAAAAGGACATCTCCCCCACCTCACTGTGGCACAGCTGGAGTAATCTCCGTGGTTTGCCTCTAGGGAACTGTCAAGCAGTGACATCCCAGACATTGCACAGGCCATAGCTTTGCTAGGAAAGCTTGTGCTGGAGTCCCACCATTTCCCTTCCCAGTATCCAACAGATGGTGCTGCAGGCCTTCTCCAGTTAGGCAGACAACTCATCTGAAAGGGGAGTTTCCCACACAGAAGAGCTGGCGTTAAAAGGCATGCAGTACAGGCTGCATTCACAAACCGGAGGCTTTTCCTCAGAGTGACAATGAGTCCTAAATTGTGGCAGTCTTCCTGAGATGGGGGTGCAGAGGCAGTCTTGAAAAAGCACAAGTGAAGGCCCAGTTGGACCCAGCCACTCTGATGGAGGCTGATGGACTTGATGTCCTGCTGTGACTTCCACCTCTCTCTTCTGTGATTCTGTCTTGACATCATAAAATTACAGAATCCAACCCCCTGCTTGAGGCAGAATTTTCTCTATCCAAACCACCCCATATCTGTCCTTGCTACTTATTACTAAAGCTGAGCAATCAACCTTGCTGCACAAGGCATATGGCCCCAAGACGCCAAAACCACTGTAACTTGCTGCAGGTAAAGCTGGGGGGACAAGAGCGGTCAGTGTTCTGCTGCTTCAAGCATTGCTAAAAAACCCTGAATTCCACCTTGTTGGCTGAACTGGCACTAAGCAGTGGAGATGCAACCCTCTGCTCAGTGTGCATGAAATGCAATATCTGTGCCCAGGCCAAACTGCAGGAGCTATCAGCCTGTTACGGGTCTTGTCTTGACAGCCAAGTTCATTAGTTCCGAATGTAGAAGCTCATGTCCCTAGCACCTGAAGTCCATGATCTTGTCCAAGGGGGCCAGAGCCATAAAAGAATCTGGCTGTGTGATGTGCCACTGTCTGTAAGAGACTCACTTTCACACTCCTGGTGGAACAGCAGTTTCTGTTAGAACTGTGCCATTAGAGATGGGGCCCAAAGGGAAATATCCGGCATTTATGGCAGGTGGAGCAGTGCTTTCCAGGAGATAAGGCTGGGGAGCTCTAGGAAAGACGTTCCCTGTCTCCACAGTGCAACAGGAAGAGCATATCCCCTGGCATAATTCAGAATCTTGTATTCAGAAGGGAATTCAGAGAAGTCAGGGATGAAAAAGACCAAATGGGGCATCTCATCTGTCCCCTGACTCTGGAGGATCGTTCCTCTTGTACATTTACCATCGCTTGATGGAGCTGTTTTGAATCTTAAACGTTCCTATGGCCAAACATGTGGAAAGAATATCTAAGCCTGGGCATCCACCCACCTGGGCAAACATGCCCAACTACCAAGTGCCTGTGTACATGATTCATGCATACAAACGTGGGTGTAAGTGCAGCAGCACTTGTGTATGTGGAGGAAATGAGCAGTGATGCAAAGACTGGCTGGAATTCCATACACTGGAGCCCAGTCCTGCAAGGTGCTATGTCCTTTCTGCATTTCAGTGCTGAGGTGGGAGTGGTATTTGCCAAGTCCATGGATTTTGTGATCTTTTAAATTGATGCTTTGCCTTCACAGGTTCCAATTTTTATGCCGATAATTATTCTGATTGCATCTGTGTACCTGGTGCTTGCACCCATCATCGACCAGCCCCAAATGGAGTTCTTCTACGTCATTCTGTTCATTCTCAGTGGGGTCATTGTCTATTTCCCTTTGGTTCATTTTAAATGTCACCCCCGGTTCTTACCAGGGGTCACTTTGCATCTCCAGCTGCTCCTGGAAGTTGCTCCTGCTGCTAAGAACGTGAACTGATTCAACATTAATCCTATGGCACTGCTGGCTGCTCCCACTTAGTAGATTTTGCAAGACAGGTGTAAAACAGCTTGTCTGTAGGGCAGTTGTTCCCAAAATAGGGGTTGTGACCCCAAACAGGGTTACGGCACTTACAGACCAGGGTTGTGAATCTGACAGAAATTCAGTTGTGCAGGTTAGGCTTGGACTGGGAGTGAGGTCACAAACAAACTGGAAACTGCTGCTGCAGGAGAAAAGGGTGAAAACGGCACCAAAATGTCAACAAGAAAGGGGCAGGAGGGGCCAGCTGAAGATTTCTTATGCATTTCCTTGGGATCTCTTTAAATAGCGGGAGGATGCCTGATGACCTCCACACCTGTGCTTCTCCCACTACAATTTCTGAGGCAGCAGACTACAGACTGTACCAGGAGGGATCGACTCTTTCATGAGAGACAACTATTCCCCAGAGAAGTTGGTGGCTTCATTTCATAATGGCATCCAGCCTCATGACTGGCAGTGTGCTGTTATTTCTGTAGCAAGATGCAACCTCCATCGGTTTCCCATAGTAGGCCCTAAGTTATTTCCACCACAAACCCCCATCACATAAATGCAACCTGCAGGGAAAAAAGAAACTTCCATGACAAAAGCCAGCTGAACATCACGTAGGAAATCTGTGGTTTATTCGGACAACGTGCTGCCATCTTCTGAGTCCCGCTCTAGCCTTGCATTCAATAACGAGCCATGATTTCACCCTGTAAGCTACTTTAATACAAATGGTAAATGGGCTGGGCAATAATGATGAATAAGGCTGATACATCAGCACTGTTTGGATAACTAGCCTCTACCTTGTTTTAGTTTGTGTGGGAATGCCAGGGGCGCGGAAAAACCATAAGCGTCATTCCTTTGGTCTGACTCTTCTCAGCAGCAGTCTGTATGCAGCATTACTATTGTGTTAGCATTTTTATTAATGCTGTCTGGGGTTTACAAGTACACTAAAATGTAAATTGCTAATGATGTTTACACAGCCAAAAATAAGTTGCTTCGTGCTTATAGCATTGTAAGATAATTACATTAAAAACAGGACATTAAAATGGAGTGAGATTCCTTTTAAAAGATTTGTTTTTTTATTCTTGAACAAATAAAGATAATTCTAGGGTAAGTTCCAGCTTTCCCTCCCCAACAATATTAAATCTTCTTTAATATTACTCTACCAGCAAATTTTGCAGTTTAATTTCTCTCCTTCCAATCCTTTTGAAGCTGGATGCAAGAGACTATGATTATGATAGTATTTCTGTTACCAGGGTTTTATAGCCAAATAAGCTCCATCCCAAATAAATTAATTTGAGCCCCTCTGGAATGATCTTTCTCTGATATCCATGGCCCTTTACATCTCACTCTGTTCCGATCATTTTGCAATGCAGCGATATGACTAGCAGCTCCCATTGACTTCAGCAATTCATCTTCACTGTAATGTATATAGAGTCTCCTTGTAATGTATTTTTTCTTTATGCCAATGAGCAATCACCACTGCTGTATGCCACATCTTCTGGAGAAGAATGACCTGTGACTAGGGCATGGAAGATCTGGCTTCCCTTTGTAACTGTGGAATAATCTCATTGTGTGACCTTTGGCAACTGTCTCCCTGACCTAGTCTTTCTCTGTGTAAATTGGGGATAATGAGATGAACCAACTTCACCAGGCTGTTGTGAAGTGCAATTCATCCACATTTGCAAGGTGTTTAGAAAAGCTCTTATGGAAAGTGAGACAGAAGGGCAAACTATTGCTAATTAAGCTGGTCCTCCCTAAACCAAATGTTCCTCTGACCCATTTTCAGTGTTAAGATTCGAGTAGCATGATGACTTTTCTGTTTGTAATTCTAACCATATGGCCATTATTATTAGTCATATTCAGCGGAATCGCTGGTTTACCCTGAACTGAGGCTTGCTCCTTACAGCCACTTGAAGAATGAGGTATTTTATCAGATAAGATTAGAGTGACCATAATAATTTTAGAGGAATCTGTGACAGGGTGAGGGAATCTGAGCTGGGGGTGCACGTGCATGCATACATGCGTGCACATGCACATACAGGCGCACATGCACACACACGTACCCCCACATCCTGCTCCCCATGCAGACGCACGCACACAGCCCTGACCCAATGGCTCCCAGGAGCCCTGATGGCAGAGGGGTCTGGGTAGGACACGGTAGTTGCCCATGACCAGCCTCCATCCCCATATGCAGAGGCTGGACCCAGCCAGGGGCAGCCTCTGAGCCCTCTCCCCAGGCTCCACCAGCCCACGCTGCATGGCCACATGGCACTTCCCCCCTGCTGCCAGCAGCTGTCCAGGGCCACCAAATGCAGCCTTGGTAGCAGCTGCAGCAGCAGGGCATGAGGCTGCTGGTGGTGAGGGGGAGGCACTGTGTGGCCATGCAACACAGGCTGGTGGTGCCCAGGAGGTGCCACACAGGGGCTGCTTCCAGGTGGTCCAGCCTCTGCACGTGGGGGATGGAGCCTGACCATGGGTCTTGGTGCTGTCCCACCTCATCCTACCCTGCCATCCCAGCTCATCCTGCTCAGGTGTCTGAGCCCCTGCCCCAGCCTGCCCCAGCTTGCCCCAGTGGATCGCCACCCCCGGCAGGAGGAGCGGTGTTCAGCCCATCCCACCACCCACCTCCAGCCTGCTCAGGAGGAGCCGGGCCAAGCATGTGTGGGCAGGGTGGCAGCAGTCTGGGACATTTGCTTCAATTCTCACCAACCAGCCAGGACACTGGGATAGCCTATGAAATCCAGGACTGTCCCAGCCAAACTGGGACATATGGTCATGCTAGGTAAGATGCAGCCATCCCCAAAACTATCTAGAATGCTAGAAAGGCTCTAATCAATGGCCATTGCCAGCTAGTGTAGCCCAGAATCTCAGTGTGCTTAAAATTAAAACAAAACAACAAAATGGAGGATGGTTTACAAAGTCCTAAGCCAAAGGGAGTGCTTGTGAAGTAAAATAAATGAATGTTGGAAGCCCAGAAACAGCAGTTCTGTACTGGAGCCAGAGGCCACGATATTGCTTTGCTTTTAAAATATACTTTACAGACCCAGCCTTTGTCTATCTTGTTTGGTTAGATCATAAGGCCTTTGGGCAGGGATGACCTCTTGCTGTGTGTATGCAGGCTGTCTTGCACAGTGCACCCTTATCTTCCTTAGCGTCTGTAGAAATCTATGATCATGCCAGAGTCAGTGAGCAAAACTGATCTAATACAAGGTGGTTATGACCTGTTTCATTTCACTGTGTGGCCAGAGTGCAACAAAATATGCAAACAGCACCAATGGTGGAAGGTAAATTGCATTTGTCTTTTCAATAGCCTAATGACATGGGTGAAGTATTGTGAAATGTATGTATGTATTATTTGTACCACAAAAGTGTCTAGGAGCTCCAGTTGTGTACCAGGGCCTCACTGCACCTGCCCCTGCATGCACACAGAAGATAAAAAGTCTCTGTGCCAAAGATGCCTTACTCAGAAGTGCAGAAGGCCCTGCTCAGTAGGTGAACAGTGCCAACAAACACAGGCTCCATTGTGAGTAGCTGACAGTTCAAGAGCCCAAGCCAAAGACTCCCATTGATGTCAGCAAGCTTTTGATTAGGCCCTAAAGGCAAGCGTGTACTGAGCAGTAGAGACGGGGGTGGCCATTCTGACTGGAGCTCTTTATGCAACAGGAGGGTTGTCTTTCAAACTGATTTGAAAGAGAAGAGCAAGGGAATTAGCAAACAAGTTCCCCCTCCTAGAAGTCCCTCGGGAAGGAAAAGCCTGGAGTTTGTATGGAGGCCTCCCTGCTTCATTAGTCCAGGATTTCCCAGGGAAGATGCTTTGTAGAACTGCTGAATTGTTAGCTGTCACCAAAGACATGTAATGGTGAACTTTCCCCACCCATTCGTATGACTCCCACAGGTTTCTTCTTGTTCTTCGGCTGGGGCATGCAGTAATGGTACAGTAGCTGCCACGGGAGTTAGTACCATTCTTACAATTCTGTTAGCCCCTGGCTGGTTTCCAGTCCACAGGGATGGTGGTAGGAAGATCACAGTGTCAGCAGTAGGCAGAGACAAAGGGCCATCTCTTCTCCTTTGCAGCGAAATAATAAAAATGCAGACAGGATAAAGATTGCCCCCAGGGGGGGCAAGGCGAGAGGGATTTGACGGTGGGGGTCTATTACAGACCCCCCAATCAGGAGGAGGAGCTGGACAGGGAATTTTCAGGCCAGCTTGCAGAGACACTAAAAGCAAGGGATGTAGTTGTCATGGGCGATTTTAATTACCCGGACATCTGCTGGGAGGAGCAGTCAGCCGGGACGGACCGCTCCAGGAGGTTCTTGGCCGAGTTGCAGGACCTCCACTTGATTCAGGAGGTGCACAGTCCCACCAGAGGAGATGCCCTGCTGGACCTGGTCCTGGCCGCAGGCGACGACCTGGTAAGAGGCCTCCAGGTTCTTGACCACCTGGGCAATAGTGATCATCGCATGCTGGAATTCACCATCCAGCGTAGAGTGTCAAGGGCCCGCAGCAAGGTGGTAGCCCTAGACTTCAGGAGGGCCAACTTCAGTGAGATGAGGAGATTAGTGGGAGAGGAACTGGGGTCCTTGAGGGCAGAGGAACTCAGCGTCCAAGAGGAGTGGTCGTTCCTTAAGGAAACGATACTCGGGGCCCAAGGGGTGTCCATCCCGACAAGAAGCAAGGCGGGCAGGAGTGTCCAAAAGCCCCCCTGGCTCACCAAGGGTGTCCGGGAATGCCTGCTTGCCAAAAGGGTGGCGTACGCCCGGTGGAAGGGGGGTGTAATCTCCAAAGAGGAGTATACCTCCTCTGCTCGGGCCTGCAGGCGGGCTGTTAGGAAGGCCAAGGCGGAGATAGAGCTCGGATTAGCGTCCAGGATTAAGGATAACAAAAAGTCCTTTTTCAAATATATTGGGAGGATGAAGAAGGCGCCGGGTAATGTGGGGCCCCTGCAGGATATGCGGGGCAATCTGGTGGTTGCGTCAGAGGATAAAGCGGACCTCTTTAACCAATTCTTCACCTCCGTTTTCTTGTGCAGGGACCGGGACTTCCCTGCTGTGATAGAAGCCGGACGCGAGGGGATCGCCTTCAGACCTCAGGTTGGGGAGGACCGGGTTAGAGAGCTTCTGGAGGGGCTGGACGCGTTCAAGTCAGCGGGTCCGGATGCTCTCCACCCCAGGGTGCTGAGGGAGCTGGCTGGGGTTATTGCAGGGCCCCTGGCACGGCTCTACGAGCGATCGTGGTGCTTGGGCCAGGTGCCAGACGATTGGAAGGTAGCTAATGTGGTCCCCATCTTCAAAAAAGGGAAAAGGGAGGACCCGGGCAATTATAGGCCCGTCAGTCTTACCTCAATCCTGGGGAAGCTCTTTGAGAAGATCATCAAGGAGCACATTTGTGATGGGCCGGCATCCGAGATGATGCTCAGGGGCAATCAGCATGGATTTATTAGGGGGAGATCATGTCAGACCAACCTGATTGCCTTTTATGATCAGGTCACAAAGGCCATGGATGCAGGTGTCGCGGTGGATGTAGTCTTTCTGGACTTCAGCAAGGCCTTTGACACCGTCTCTCACCCCATCCTAATTAGTAAACTAGGCGACTGTGGCATAGATGCCTACACGGTCAGATGGATTGCAGATTGGCTGAAGGGTCGCACTCAGAGGGTGGTGGTGGATGGATCATATTCGACTTGGGGGGAGGTGGGTAGTGGAGTCCCTCAGGGCTCGGTCCTGGGCCCTGCGCTGTTCAATGTCTTCATCAGCGATCTTGATGTTGGGGTGGAGAGCAACCTGTTTAAATTCGCTGATGACACCAAAATTTGGGGGGAGGTGAGCACGCTAGCAGGGAGAGAGAGATTGCAGAAGGATCTGGATAGGTTACAGGGGTGGGCAAACAGGAACAGGATGTGTTTCAATACGGACAAGTGCAGGGTGCTGCACTTGGGTAGTAGGAACCAGCAGCACACTTATACGATGGGGAGCTCCCTACTTGAGAGCACGGAGGCGGAAAGGGATCTTGGTGTCATTATTGACTCCAAGA